GACACGTGGGACCAGCCACTGGAAACTTCAAGAAGGTCGCTCACTAGTGAGCATGCTGCATGGGGCACAGCCCTGAAAAGATTTTTTTTCTTTTGAGACTGGGTGTCTGGCAGCCCAGGGTGACCTTGAACTCCTAATCCCTGACCCTCTGGCCTCCACCTCCCAAGTGCTGCGAAGCAAACACAGGTTTAAACACTGCTTTAATGGCATAGCCAGCTCTCCAGCTATCCTGCCCCCGCCCCCAGCTTTTATTTTTTGGAAACTGGGTCCCCTGTAGCCCACGTTGTCTCATCTTACGATGTAGCTGAGGGGGACCTTCAACTGCAATCCCCTTGTCTACACCTCCCAAATGCTGGGGTTATTGGCTGAAAACAGGAGGCAGAATTTGAAGACAGTGTCTGCCTGGCTGAAACTGATCTCCCCATGTATAGTCCCGCAGTGGACACCAAGCCTGTCCTCGGTGTGCTGACGACACCTTGTCTCACCCTTGCACCTATAGTGACACCATCTACAATCCAGAATAGGTTTTAGGTAGACTGTAGGCAGACACCCCCTTTCATCTCTTTTCTCCCCCACAAGGGAGGAGGACGCCGCCACCTGCCTGTTTTCAGTTTGTTCATTGCTCTGGTCTTTAGAACCCAGTTCTTAATATATGGAAGGTCAGAGTTGAGAGTCCAAGTCAACAAGAACAGGGCACTTCATTAACCTGGAGGCTGGAGGAATAACCAAGCTCTCGATTAATAGGGAGACCTGACATTTGTATAGGCGGTAACTATTTACAGAGGGCTTTACCTCAGTCATCGCCCTGAGACTGTCTAGCTGTCAGAGCTGGTGAAAACGGGCAATCCTGGAAGTAGATAAGCCCGGGTCTAAAGGTCAGACCTACCATGGAGTGTACGACCCTAGGTAGGTTACTTGACCTCAGTATCTCACTGGCAGTTATTTTTCTTTTTAAAATTTAAATTTGTTTTTAGTTTTATGTTGTAAAATACATTTTTACTGAGGTGGGTGATGTGCCCATGCCATGCACACATATGGAGGTCAAAGGACAGCTAGCAGATCACCGTGTGCATCCAGCTCAGGTTGTCAGGCGCGGTGATGCCAGGTGTCCTTAAATTAACTTCAGCCATCTTGCAGACCTGATAATCCTTTCTTTCTTCTCTCTCCTCTCTCTCGTTTTTCCTTTTTTTTCCAATTTTATTTTGTATGTGTACGGGGTTTGGCTTGCAGTATTTATGTGCACTGCATGTATCCCTGGAAGCCGGAAGAGGGCTTCGTATCCCCTGGAACAGGAGACAGAGATGGTTGTGAGCCATCATGTGGGTGCTGGGAACCAAACCTGGCTCTTCTGGACGTATTTGTACTTTTATTTTAAACATTTATTTATTATTACACAGTGTTCAGTTTGCAGACCAGAAGAGGGCACCAGATCAAATTACAGATGGTTGTGAGCCACCATATGGTTGCTGGGAATTGAACTCAGGACCTCTGGAAGAGCAGCCAGTGCTCTTAACCTTTGAGCCATCTCTCTAGCCCCCATATTTGTACTTTTAAATCCAGTCCCTGTTTTCACTCATTCGTTTTTTGAGACAGAGTCATCAAGTAGTCATCACCTGCCTCTGCCTCCAGAATGCCTGGGGCAGCTGGGCATGATGGAATAGGCTACGTAATTCCAGCACTCATGGAGGCTGAAGCAAGAGGATCACAAGTTCAAGGCCTACCTTGGCAAGGTCAAGAGTAACTTGAGACCCTGTCTCAGCAAAAAATAATGGGTGGGGGTAAGATTACTGGGGATATAAACTCAGTGCCAGAGTGGTTGTCCAGCCCATGTGTGGTTTAGAGTAACCCAAAGGGCCAGGAGCCAACCCTGTTGGATTATACCTATACTCCCTGCATTCGAGGTGGAGGCAGAAGTGTTGTGAGTCTGAAATCAGCCTGGACTGTATAGTGAACTCCAGGGGAGCCCAGGCTACACTCACTGAGATTTGGGCAGAGGCCCATGTGCTCCAGGACACTGCTAGGGCTGTGGGGAAAGTTGAGGTCTCCCGTGGCAAGGTAGGGAAATGAACATGAACATATGCTCTCACAGCTAAAGGTGTGCAGCTGGGGGAAGAGGCTGCAGGAGCCACTGTCACGAGGCAGGGAAGCCTGGGTACCTCGAGTCCAAATCAAGACCCCACCCTGTGTATCTGTGCAGAGCCAGCATGTGCAGCTACTTACTTAACCGTCCTCTTCGGATCCCCTCCTGGACTATGCCCGATCTGTGGGCAGTGACTTTAGCTCTAGGTCTACAGGGCTGGCAGAATAAACAATCCTCTGAAACGGGGGAAACACAGATGTTTAGGGCCTACCCAGACCAACTGACTACCTACCTGGTGTTGAAATTTATTTATTTTTTTTTAAGACAGGATCTCTTGTAGTTTAGGCCATATTTAGTCAAAAATGACCTTGACCTCCTAATCTTTCTGTTTCCAAATCCCAAATGCTGGGCTTAATTTTTTTTATTTTGTTTTAATTTCAATTTGTTTGGTCATCTCTCCAGCCCAGGTGTTTTTAGACAGAGGTTGGCTCCAAATGTGTCACCTAGGTGAAGAGCAAGCAACAGTTCACCCTAGAAATTATTTATGTAGCCGGAGAGAGGTTAAGGAGGTGAAGGGGTGAAGTGGCAGTCGGAAAATGTACTTGCAATGATTATGATTATAGCTGCCTCAGGTGAGTCCTTGCTATGTTCCTGACACTCAGCAGCAGCTAAGTGGAAAAGTGGGGTTTAATCTAGGTTACGCTTTAAAGCTCTCCATTACTAGGGGCTTACACAACTTCTTGTCTCTATCATCCTTTTTTTTTTTAAGTTTTTTTTTTGAAAGTAGTTTTATTAAATTATAAAAGTTTCCATTTCCGCCCTCTATCATCCTTTTTATGATCCTAAAAACAAAAATACCTGTGTAAGTTTAAGACCAGCTTGGTCTATATAATAAATTCCAGGTTAGCCAGGGCTATTTAGTGAGACTCTGCCTAAAAATAACAAAGTAACAACAGAAAATCCAACCAAAGAGCAGGATTCTAAAAATTGAGAACCCCAATTTTGCGCTAGGTTGTTTGTTGGGAGAATTCCTTCTGGGGAGACAAGCATTTGTCCTTCACTCACAAGGTCCTAATGACATATCAAAGTCCAATTCCACCCAAGTTCTCCCTGGAGAAGCGGTGGGTTTATTGGGCTTATTCACACAATACAGGGCTACTGGCAGAAGTGTGGGTGATCCCAGCGCAGTCAGACTGGAAGTTCTCCACCCAGCAAGGATGCCTGCTTCCTGCTTTCAGCAACTACAGCAGACTGCAGATCACAAGTCTGGAAGGCGGGGCTGGACTCTCATTGGCACTGCCCCACCTGCTTCTGAGGGAAATGGTGGCCATGACTCTGGAGGACAGAATTCTATTCACCATAGCGGGTGTCTTAAGTGAGAAAATTGTCAGCACAGCACCTGCCTGCCTGCCAAACCTGAGGCTATTCTCCAGCACCCATGTAGGCAGGTGTAGTGGTGGGTGGCAGAAGCAGGATCCCAGGCAGTCTAACTAATTCGCAAGCTCCCTTTCAGTGAGGAAACCATGTATGAGAAACGTGGAGAGTGATACAGGACACCCAACAGCAACTTCCACAGGCACACTCATGACCACCCACATTGCTACCCATAAAAAGGTATTTCCTAAAAAGTAAAAATGTAAACTGGACAGTAGGGGCGCACACCTTTAGTCCCAGCACTTGGGAGGCAGAGGCTGGCGGATCTCTGTGAGTTGGAGGCCAGCCTGATCTACAAAGACGGAGTTCAAGGACAGCCATGGCTACTACACAGAGAAACCCTGTCTCGAAAAATCAAAAAAAAAAAAAAAACCCCATCCCTTTTTTTTCACGTTAACATAAACATTTTTATTATTAAAATTAACTTTGAAAACAAAAAAAATGACAGTATTGTTCCACACTTTTGCAGTCTTTTTCTGACAACAGGAGACAGGTAGAGCCTCAAATCTGCTTCATCTGACCATGCACGGCTTTACTAAAGTCAAAGAATGCTTTCACTTGGAGTTGCACTGGAGGCAGGCAAACTGCCCAGGAGGATTTCAAGAACCATTACCTGCTAAAAACCACAGCACCAACAGAGTTTCTCAGTAGACGTCAGTCATTGACTTAGCATCAGGATGGCAACTCCTTTCAAGGCCAGCATGTTTGAAGGAAACTTGAGCTCTTGTTAATTCAGTTTGAACATTTTCCCCACTGCGACAGGGTTTCTCTGTGTAGCTCTAGAGTCTGTCTTGAACCCACTCTTTAGACCAGGCTGGCCTTGAACTTGTGCCACCACTGCTCGGCTGAACATTCTTTTACTTATTTAGGTCTGTCAGTAACTGAACTCAGGGCCTGGGCAAACATGCCTACTACATGGGCCAACGCACAAACTGCAATGTCTGTTTTGGAAATAAGTTCTCCTGGACTCCAGGGATCCTTTTCTGCTGAATCCCAGTACCAAGGTTTACAGGCATATACTCAAGTGCCTGGGATTACAGGCATAAACTCATGGGATTACAGGCACATACTCAACTTGTTCAAACAATGTTTAACGAGTTTAAAACCACTCTACTGACAGCCAAGATTATAGTACAATTTTTTAAAAAAGTTTAAACTAAAGAATGCAACATGCCATACACAATTAGCACTGCCCTGCAGTGTCTTAGAGCTCACCGAGCCCATTTACTCAATCCTAGGCCCCTCATGAGAGGGCCTGAACAGACCTGGCTGGAGCAGGCTAGGACTGAGCTGAGTCCCTATGTCCTTCTTCATTCAGTGGTCTGGCGAAGAAAGGCAAGCGACCCACAGTTCCAGACTTTAACAGGCTCCTTGTGACCTTGTGGTGATGCACCCGCAGGACAGCTCTGTTCTGATGAGGTTGTATCTGGCATTGAAGAGGTTCCTTCTCAAGGTCACTCTTTCCACATACATAAGACAGCAACCATTCTTGAACTTAACGACTTTATTTGACACAAAATACAATATGGCCGTGGGGACAGCAAACACCGAAGACAAAAGAAGAAAAAACCATGGTTCTATCTAATTTATAATTAACAGGAAGGTGAGTTGCTACACGAGTAACACATGGGTAAGCTTTAGGGAGCATCTTTTCTAGTGCCCATACCTGAAAGACAAAACAAATGACCTTATGAGGATGCTGAGAGTAAGACCCTAAAGTCCACGAAACACTTTTTTGTTTGTTTGTTTTTCCTAACAGGGTTTCCCTGTGTAGCCCTGGCTGTCCTGGGAACTCACTCTGTTGGCCAGGTTGGCCTTGAACAAGTTCTGGGATCGATGGCATCCATTACCAGGCCTGGCTTAGCTTTGTTTAATAATAAAAATGTGATCTGTAGGTTTGGTATCAGAATCAATCAGTTGAGTGAAGCCAAAGGGACTCGGCACTTGAGGCACCTGGCTTGGCAGGCTGGGGTGGGAGGGTCCTAATGAATTTGAGGCCAGCCTGAATTACAGAATGAGATGCTGTCTCAAGGAGAAATAAACAGCCCACATAAGACTGGGTTTTGGTGGGCACATTTGTGACTCCTGCACTCTATAGGCAGAGGCAGGAGGGATCCCAAAAGTCACAGGTCAGTTAAAGCTACACCACTAAACCATTCCTCCACATCCAAAGAAAGGCAACAGGTGGACATAAAATTTTGCATAATGGACTATCAAGGTTGGGTTATAGAGATTTACTGACTCATTTTGGTGGTACTAGGGACTGAATCCAGGGCCTTGTACATGATAGACAAGTATTCTACCACTGAGCTACGTCCCCTGGCCCTGGAAATACTTGACTTTCTAAGACAGAACCGGTTTCACTTTAGTTTTTTTAGAGCCTGTCCTGGAACTAGCTCTTGTAGACCAGACTGACCTTGAGCTCATAGAGATCCTCCTGCCTCTGCCTCCTGAGGGCTGGGATTAAAGGTGTGCACCACCATCGTCCCACTTGACCTTTGCTTCTGACTCCCAGATAGACCTAGCAGATTGAAAAAACTCTGCAAAATGCTGGCTAATCCCCGTTTATCTTCTCAAAGCTTGCCTTAAAAATAAGGCAGGGCAGCACACACCCTTAATCCTACTGCTAGGGAGGTAGAGACAAATGAACCTGAGTTTGAGGCCAGCCTGGTCTACAGAGCCAGTTCTAGAACAGCCAGAGCTAATTAGAGAGACCTTATCTCAAATAAATTAAACAAACAAACAAGGGGGGGGGGAAATGCTCCACCATTCCAGCTGCCTTTAGCTTGAGGCCAGTAGGAGAATGACATCAACTAGAAGACCCAAACTTAGAACCCCAAACAAGGTGGAACACCTACTTTTGGAATTCCCACTCTCTGTTGTCCAGTGGACACACCTGCCTCGTTTTGAGCCATCGAGAGATGCAGTGGAAATGAAAAGCATGCTGAAAGAGAAGACAGGTTGTTAAACGTCACTGCAGATACCACCCACTGTCAACACCAATCATGGGCTGTGAATGGGGATGACAACAGGGGACAGGGCAGCCGTGGAGGAGAGGGCAACAGCCCACAGAACATCTGGGAACTCTTCTTATTGATAAGGACATTTGCAACACATGGCATGCCCCAACGCTAAAGAAATGAATGATCAGGGAGCACAGGAGTATGTTCTGACAGTGAGGGCCGGTCTCTGCGGGAATGCGGCTCCCGGTGCCACATAGCTCTTAACAGGATAGTTCTACATTCCTGAGAAAGGGTCCCAATCACAGAAGACAACTGTTCTTTCACAGCCACAACTCTTACTAGATTCTGACGCTTCAGACTCTTAACACAATTCATCATGAAAAATCAAACAAAAATCTAAACATCCAAACCAACCAGCATTTTTGCATGCTTATAACCCCAGCACTTGTAAGGTGGAAGGAGAACCAAGAGTTCAAGGTCACACTCAGCTAAACACCCAGTTCAAGACCAACCTGAGCTGCAGGAGTCCATGTCTAAAAAAAAACCAAAGCAACAAAACAAAAAGCCCCCTCAGAATTTCCAAGAGGTAGAGCCTGAGATACTTCCTGCAACATCTAGGTACTGGGGACAGTTCATTCGAAGACAGGCAAGAGACCTGTCTTTAGCTACCATCTCCCCGCTAAGTATACTACAGAATTGGGCTTAACCCCACAGAATAGCAAGTGTTCAAGGGCAAAGTGTGTGTGAATGAGGTTTCAATGCAAATGGACCCCATCTTTCTTTCTCTTACTTTAAAATGCAATAAAGAGTATATTTAGCTAGCAGACATAGTTTACCAAGGGCACATTTACAGCCCAGGTTTATAGAAGAAGTTGACATTACTACCTCATTCGAGCCTATTGCAACCCTGGAAGCAGGCAAGACAGATATTACTATCTGTTCTTTACAGACAGGAAACTGAACCCCAGACAAATGACTTGTCTAATTTACAGAGCTGGTTCTCACAAGACTCAGAACTAGCAGCCTAGCTTAATCTGGAGGTTTCTGGCACAGCATGACCAGGCTCTCCTTTATGGCAAGCTACCTGAATAAATTCATCTTTAAATTTTTCATTAAAGAAAATTTCTTTCCTTTGGCTTTTTTCAAGACAGGATTTCTGTGTAGCCATGGTTATAAACTTAGTGATCCACCTGTCTCTGCCTACTGAGTGATGGGATTAAAGGCACATACCACCACACCTGGTTTAAAAATTCTTAAATTTAGATAAAAGCCAGGCGTGATGGCACATGATTTTAATCCCAGCACAGGTAGACATAGGCAGATCTGAGTTCTAGAACAGCTAGGGATACAAATTGAGTGTCTAAATAAATAAAAATTTAAAATTACATTATTTGTGTTTATGTTTGTGGGCACAGGTATGCATGGCACTCATGTGGAGATCAGAGCTAACTTGTGGAGTTGGCTCTCTCCTATTATGGGGGTTCCAGAGACTGAGCTCTGGTTGTCAGGCTTGGCAGTAAGCACCTTTATCCAGTGAACCATCTCACCAGGCTCACCCTCTCCCCTTCACACAGAGCAATGTCACCTTTAGTCTGGAGGTGGTGAGGGCAAAACACTTGGTGTGTTTTCTCTAGCTCCATGAACGTTTAACATCATTTTTTGGCTAATGAAGTCTGTGAAGTGGCCACAGGGTCTGGACAGAGAAGGAAGAGCGGGCAAGAGTGGGTGGGAGGACAGCCTCAAAGCCACAAGGAAAACACTGAGCACTAATTAAGGCCACCCACAAATCTCTATTCATTTAACTTTCTTTTCAAGACCATTATTTTTAATTGTGTGTGAGTGTGCCTACAGTGGGCATTTGCAGGTGCCCGCAGTGGGTATGTGCAGGTACCTAGAGTGAGCATGTGCAGGTGCCCGCAGCGGGTGTGTGCAGGTACCTAGAGTGAGTGT